TGGATCTCTTAAGATCTCACTGTTGGGTTTGTAAGGCCATGTTACTCCTAAATGTCTACCTTGTTCAAAGAGAAGATATAAAACAAAGTTCTAAGCTAATCGACCTTAGTGTTCGATAAAGAATCGAATCGTTAAACAGAATCGAAAATGGAATCGGAATCGTGAAAATCTTATCAATACACATCCCTACTAATGTTTGAGACACGTCATTTCCTGCCAACTGCTCCGCTATTTATTTTAAAGAAATAATGTGTTTAGTGTATGGAAGCCTGTTTCCACCACTAAATAAATAAATAAATAAATAAATAAAAATTAAAGTATTCATAACTCGAAATTTCAAGTTATTTTCTTGAAATTTCGACTTATTAACTCGGAATTTTGAGAAAAGTAACTCGAAATTTCGAGTTAGCGCTGCCAATCAGTAATCTACGTGAATGACGTCATTTCCTTGTTACCCGGAAGCTGAAGCCCTGAGCTACAAATGCTACAGCTAAGCTAACAGTGTCACAGCCAGTCATGAATGCACAAATTGCTGAGTATTCTCACCGTGGCTTCACAAATGATTAAATCCTTGTGTTATTAGCTGAATCACATGGCGTTACTATCAGCAAACATGCTCTCAAAAGCGCCAATTTGTTGCGATCCGGTTTTAAGTGCGCATTCCTCTGCGCCATATCCTTCCAGGTAATAAGAAAATGATGTCAGTCACATAGATTACTGATTGGCAGAGCTAATTTGAAATTTTGAGTTAGCTTTTAGTTTGAAATTTCGAGAAAACAATTAAAATTTCGAGTTATTTTCTCGAAATATTGTGCCTGCACACTCATGTGTGACCACACATTTCGACAGAAACAGCGGATACTTTTTTTAGTGGCGGAAACTGGCTTCCATAGATAACAGCACAACTTTTGTAAATCACATGAAAAACTAAGCACACCTATTGAGCACCATTTGGGGATCATGCTCACATGCACATCTCCATAAAGACCCTGGAGTCAGAAAACTGTTCTGGCAAAGAAAAAGTAAAAAAAAAAAAAATATTGTGAAAAAGCAGCTTCACATCAAAGTACGGCGTCAGACAGAAAGAAAATGAACCTTCGTTTCAGCAGAGTAAACATACCACCGGGGCACACACCAGGGAGACAAATGTATACGACAACATCAAACAGGAGTGCATCCTTTCTAAACGTATTCAACCATGCAAAATATATGCAAACAATAGAAGACAGACATTCAATTAACTTTCTTCTGACCCTCATGTGTATTTATATCCAATTTTCTCTTTTAGTGTTTAAAGTCTGCCTCACAGGCACATGCTCTGAATGATTTGAGCTTTCTGCTGCGTAAGATTATTAAGGGTTTCCTTTCCTTTCCTACTTTTCCTGCTGTGCAGCCGTGCTTTTAACATGAGGAGGAGACAGAGAGAGTCTTCACCCAGAGATTACAATAATCGAATACCCATAACAGCAATATTTAACCTTATTACCAAAGAGTGTATTACATTACACCCTCTTGCATGTATATCTGCTGAGGACTTTAAGACAACCAGAGAAGCAACATGTGCTGTAATCAGATTCAGAGGCAGGAGGATGCTACCCTTACAAAGGTCAAAGTGGGAATAGAAAACAACTGTCTGAATACAAACAAGTTTTCTCTACACTCTCTTCCGACTGCAGCCATTCCACTAAATTTAAAAAAATTAGCACAGAAAGTCTAAAGCTTCAGTAGATGTGTGACAGGATCTGTTACGAAGTGGAGGGGCAGGTGAAAGACGACAAACTGAACAGAGACGCGTTACGTCAGCAAGGAGCAACGCACTGAGAAGAGAGAAATCAAGAGTCTGGCCTAGCAGATGAGGAGAAAAACTCTTGGCCTGTGGTCATGGGCTTACTGTGTCTTGTGTGTCACGTTGAATGAGTGGGTAGATCTGCATTTTTGAAGTGTGTGATTAATTTTGCTCTATGGCTGTGGAGACCCCACGGAGAGAAAGAAAAATGCCTAAGGGGTTTACTCCGTCTTCTTCATCCGTCTTGGCGCGTGTCTATTGAAACACACACACACACACCACAACACAAATGCTCACACTGAACACATAACTAATCACACAAAGCCAGGCACAATCAATTTTCCTTGTGACAAACATGAGGTCACAAACATTCACCAGAGTATCATATTTAACCGACTACAATGCAAAACTCAGTGTCATATCACTCTCTGCGTTATCGTTTTCACCTGTGTCGGTCTATCACACCTGCGCACACTCGCAACGAAGCCCTCCTGAAAGACGTCCCGTAATCTAGTACCGAACATGGCCAGCGTCTTCACGCAAAACCGAAGAATGAAAGGCAGCATTCACTATATCAGTTTTCTCTAACGAGCTGTAATCTGAACCATGTACGCTCTCATCTATTTTAAGTCGGCTTAAAGCATGTAAATGACTGCTGTAATCATGGCGATGAGAAATAACAAAATCCATCTGGTTCCTAAAGACTGGCAGACTGCAGACGTGAATTAAAATGCTTACACTGCACAGTTCATCCATAGGTGTTTTTAACAAGTTCAATTCAATGAAAAATAAAACTCACCAACCAGAATAACACTTAAGGTTCAGTGTACTTATAGAGCAAGACCGCCCTCTTGTGTTTAATAATAAAATTGACATTAATCCTATAGACATTTAACAATAATAATGATATTTAAATGTTTTAAAGATTTGTGGTGGCCTTTTTTGCTTTTACTAGATGCACAGTGGAGAATAAACAGGAAAGCAGAGAGTGTGGGGGAAGACAATCGTCAAAGGCCGACCTGGAGCGCTGCCCCTGCTCAAGCAGCGAGCTAAACTGGCACCCAGAATAATTCCATATTTACCACTGTAGCTGTTCATCCATTTATCTTTTGTCTAAATATAAAATACATCCAATATTTCTATTGTCACGTTATGGTATAGGCAGCTTCCTGTTGGTACTGTTGACTTCAAATCAACAGAATTAATACAACATAGTACAATTACATCATTTCTTACCAGTCATCTTGTATCCGCTGGCAGCCAGCTGCCCAGCCATGTACTCCCCATCTGAGTTGTTATGACTGCAGCCCCATGTTTTCATCCAGATCTTTTGGGTACCAGGGATCAAACTAAAAAAAATACACAAGTAATACGTCCATTGTAAATCATCCTGATGTGCAAAAATCGATGTCTAAACCAAACCGGCTGACAAAAGGCTGTCTATTGTAAATTTGCTTTATTACCCATGTGTGTTGGAGGAAGTACAAAGGTGCTTTTACACCAGCTGCTGTCAAACTAAATGTCAAGAGTAAATATCAAACCACCCTGATAAGGTGGCTTTCCGATTCAGTGGGATCTTGTGTAGGGCATTTGTGGCTTGGAAGCTTCTAAGGTTTTTGGTATAGCTGATGTGTGCTATTGGTGTCATTTCCTCTGTTAGATAAGAAATGCAAAAATTAAGACAACATGAACGTGGAACAGCAGCATGTACAGCGACTGTAATTTAGTTTTCCCCAGCAAAGCCATGTAGAATGTAAACATGCTCAACATGACTATGGGATTTTTCTAATCTATCCGATTACTGAAATATAAATATATAAAATATTAACATACAACTAATCAGAAGAAAACAGTTTGCAGTTAGATGAAATTATGGGGTTTATTTTATTTTTTTAAGTAGTGGAAGAAACAATTCAGTTATAACAACAACTAGAAATGTAGTTGAAGAAACAAACACTCTTTCAAACACTTCAGGAAAATCAATTAAAAACATCACTCACTTGGAAAACTAAGTAAACACCTTCAGAAATCCCCAAAATTGTGAGCTTCCAGATTATACACTGGTGACCAGAAACCTCTCACACAGGGTACAATCGATAGAACGATCAAGAGAACACTGGTAAAAATGCTGGAAATGGAAAACTTTTGTTTTTGTTGAACGAGATGCTCGGAGTAATTTAGAAATAGCGTCCAAATCGTTTGCTTAGCACTGTAACTTTTACAGAACTCTAAAAAGTGTCAGCAACGCATGCAGCTGAGTTGTGATTAATAGAGCAGTGTCTTGATTTAAGTTGCTAAACACTTTGTGAAATACAGTCATTTTCCTTGTTACTAAAGTGTTTGGATCATTATTCCAAGTTTCATAGCTCTAATATGAGAGGAATTTGCCTCGGATTCGACAAGCTTAAACCAAGATGTCTAAAACTAAACGTGCTCACAAAACCTTAAGTGTGTGTGCACGAATAGCCTGACACACTCATCTCACGTGGAGTTTTGAGACTAATTTCACAGATCAACAAACATGAGATGCGTTCAAGTCCCAGTGTGAAACTGGGACATCTGTACTTCCACTGTATACCTACATTTCTTTCTTTTTTCTTTCTTTCTCTAAATAAAGAGAACAGATTGTCACCACTATACTACAAAACATAATCTGTGTTTCAGCCTACATTTGTGGATCTGTGCAAAGCTGGCAACATGACATTTTTCTAAAAAAAACCAAATGAGCAGGTACGAAAAAGCATTAGGGCCACATGAAGAAAAAACATTATTGGTCATTTTGAGAAAATGTCCAAATGTGGTGATTAAAGTTGTTGTTTCAAGAAAAACTGCCATGGCTGCTACACCCTCTACAAAATGCCGGTGGTTATCGATGGTTAAATCATAAAGAGGATGTATGTTGAATGTGTTTTAGGCTTGAATTCCACAACTATAATCTCCACATGGAAGTGGGCTCAAAAATTTCAGTGCACTGATGTTAAGAGATGGGTGGACAATTATTAAAAACCATCTAAAAGACGTTATTCCTTCTAACATGAAGCCAAAATACACTTTTTTCACTGACAAAAATATCTACTAATACATTTTTTTAATACATGGTTACATTTTTTATTTTTAAGCCAACAATTTCCCTTTTTTCCCCCCATGGCAGTAACATAATATCAAACACTGGACACACCTGTCAGCTTGAAGCTCCTCATCGCTCAGGAGCTCTTTCTTCTTCCTTGCCCTTGGTATGATACTTTTTCTAGCAGACTGTCTTTCATGAGGAGTGGGGTCACTAGAAGACACCATGTCCTCGATGTCTTCCATCAGAGAGTCACAAGAAGACGGCATGATGATCTGGAAATTAAGCAAAGCTTTAGTCAGCCTTTTGGAGTAACCTAAAAATATATAGTGGCAGAATCCCTTTAAGAAAGCTCCATGCTTCACTGCTGCCTGCAGACTCTCCTTCATTTAGCAGATTTCAAGGTTTTTACTCATAAAGTCGGAGTACCTGCAAAATTCTTGGTATGGTTTTGTGGACACTTTGTTTTGTTCCTAAACTGTTTTTCGCAATGGTTCAAGATTTGGATGTGAAACCTCTTCAGCAATATTATGGCTGACTCTTCCTCAGTCTCACTCCTTGTACCTTGTACTGTTTTTTCATTAGTACCCGTTTTAGGGTTTTAGGAATGCAAAGGCTACGTGTGCAGGAACAGCATTAGCATTTGCAAAATAAGCATGATTATTAGAAGGATTTATAGATAAAGAAAAATGCAGTGTGCAAATTATGGATTAAAGTATTACTAAAAAAAAAAAACTATCAATACAAGATCTTCATGACCAGTGAGTGCGACATCCTGAAGTACAGTACCTCTATCTACTGATGCACATGTATTAATTACCGTTACATTCTCTTTAAATGTGTTGTTCACGATAAGTAGATGAAAAGCTGCATCGCTGGAGATACAAGCTATGCTGAATATGCGCACACATCACTTAAACGCTTACTGGGTTCAAGTTGTACAACTTTTATACAACAGATCACGTTTCACACTTATGAGCTGGTTTTAGTTTACCCTAAACGACGGTTTACACAGGGAGGCTAAAATTAACGTAAATTTAAACATTTAAAATGCTCCATTTGACACTTATTTATCCCTCTTCATTGGTTTTACTGGTTAACAAGCGCAGGGTAGCGTTTATCTTGGCTAGCCTCATTGGCTAGCTAGTACCCACGTGTCTCTTATTCTGAGCAGACAGTCCCAATAAAAACATTAAAGTTTCTTACCTTAGTCGCACTGTAGTTGTAGCCTTCAGCTGAACTCGAATGCCGAGGGCAATATGCTTTAAAAAGGCACACGATGATTATTTACGCCACCAAAGCAGTCACCACAACCGCCATACTTGTCTGTAAGTACGGAAGGTAAACAGGGACAAAATGTATAAGCGCGTGTTTTTCTCAAGTAGTGGGTGAATAAGTTCAGACCAACTGAATACGGGTATGATTCAGTGTCATGTGTGGATAACACTACATATACGGTCACCAGCCACTTCATTAGGTATACCGGTTCAGCTGCTCATTTAAATGGTAAATGGGCAGGTTCTCATACAGCGCTTTTCTATTCTGAAAACTCAAAGCACTTTATACAACTTGCTTCCTTCACCCATTCCCACCCACACAAGCACTTTTCTCTTTGTAAGTGCTTTCTATCTATTGACAGTGCATTGACACTCCGATCAGAGAGCAACTTAGGGTTAGTATTTTGCCCAAGGATATTCAGCATGCAGACTGGGTCTGCAACCTTCTGATTAGTGGATGACTTGCTCTGCGTCCTGAACTATAGCCTCCCCATCAGACTGGATGCATGTATGTTGAGCCCCCTTCTCTTCACTCTGCTGACCCACGACTGCACACCATCACACAGCTCCAACCTCTTCATCAAATGTGGTGGGTCACATCAGCAACAACAATGAGACCTACTACAGGACTGAAGTTAACCATCTGGCCGAGTGGTGCAGCAACAACAACCTATCCCTTCAGGAGAACTCGCACCCCACTAACCATCAATGGTGCTGCTGTAGAGAGGGTAAGCAGCACTAAGTTCCTGGCTGTGCACATCTCAGAAGATCTTCCTCTGCAAACTGAGGTGAGCAAGAGCCTCAACCACCATTACGAGCACCTTCTACAGAGGCACCGTTGAGAGTATCCTCACCAGCTGCATCACTGTGCGGTATGGCTCCTGACGGAAAAAGTTACAACGGGTAGTGACAGCAGCGGAGAAGATCGTGGATACTTCTCTTCCCTCCCTCCAGGACATCTACTGCACCCGCCTCATCCGGAAAGCCCTCTGCATTTCAGGTGACTCAACTCATCTGTCCAACTTCTTCTTCAATTTGCTGCCATCAGGAAGGAGACTGAAGAGCCTCCGGGCTAGAACCAGCAGACTGAGACACACGAACTCCAGACCTGCATTGACCTCTTCCCTCTGAGTGCAGCCAAACTTTCCACCATAGTGCAAACTACTCCCTGAAGACGCATCAAGACAAAATACACATTTCCTCATTTATATTTGCTTTATTCAAATTTTCAATTACAAATGCCCAGAGTACAAAAAAACAAATTCATTTATCCCCCCCAACCCACCCCCTACCCCTCCAATACACACAGACACGCACACACAGCTCAAATTCCTCATTTTAACAGATGTACATAAACAAGCATGTAACTGAAATACACACATCAAAAAACATCAATTTTATCTCCAACATTCATGAGCTCTTGCACCCATGCCTTCACATCGCAAACTGCTCTCTGTTCTGTAGTTAGCAAAAACAGGCAGAAATATAATTTTACAGACAATTCTTTCTAATCAGATTTTTGTTTTTTGTTTGTTTTTGTGTCATTTTTTTCCCATAAGCTTTACAGAATATTCACTGATCATTACATCGTATTTGGTAACAGCTCAAGAATAACCATAAGAAAATAAAAACAAAGCTGTTTCAATGTGGACCATAGTTAGCATCATACTTAGCCTAACGATACACTTCAGTAAGATCTAATCACACATTTCGAAATGAGAAAAAAAGTTGCAATTTTAAGTCACTCATTATTACCAGACACTAGCTTTAGCAGTGCACGAAATCTCCAACATTCCATTAGAAACCAATGGAAAGGTACAATCTTTCCACCACACACACACACACACAAAAATCCCTCATGTAAAAGGACATAAAATATAGCAACCAGATTCTGGTTGCTTGAAATCCTTGGGGGAAAATATTTTACCTACTGTAAACTGGAGAGTGGGTGTTTAAACTTTGCATGAATACATGTAAAATACACCAATATAAATACGCCTGTAAATCAGGACATTTTTGTGCATTTTGTAAAGATTGAAATAATGAAGAGACTGGATGTTCTTCTCAGAGTTGAGGCTATTCTTTAACAAGTCAACATGCTTTTCCTGAATTGCCCCCATCGTGCTCTGGCGTCAGAATTTTGCAGATGTGAAAAAAGAAAACCCGACAAACAAACAAAAAGCAGCACAAAAAATAAAGTTCATCCAAACAACAAAATAAAATAAAATTTGCATTCGAGGATTTTCTTCTGTAACCTCTCGGTCACTGTGTAAAACACTTGCACCTAGTGGCTAATTTGGCAGACCCTAAAAGAATGCACAACCCTGTATTTTTAATACAGTCCAAAGCGATGTTCTCATTTACATATTTTGCATTTCTGTTGTCAGATAATGTCACCTTGCCTTTTTCATGCCAACTAGCCATTTAGTGCAGACTGTGGGGGATTATTGGGAGTGGAGCATTCAAGGCACGCAAGTGCAAGTTTCAGACAAAGTGAACAGAAATGCTGCAGCAATGTACGGTATAATGTGTTCTTAGAACATTAAAGCACGCAAACATATTCTAGCTCCTTTAGCAATAATGAAACAGAGGTTGTACATGAACATATAATAGGGGCACTTGGAGAGGCATCACTACTCTCCAAAAAACTGAGAATTGCAAAAATGGTAAGGAATATCAGGGGGGAAGTTTCCAAAAGTTCCTACACACTTCCAACAGAGAACAGCCAAACCAGGGATGCGAAAAACACAGAAATGTCTCTGCATGACCAGATAGACCAACTGCGAATCACTGCCTGTGTCTAAGTGGTGCCTCTCCATTTAAAAAACATAATTAAAACAAAAACACTGAAACAGGAGCTAAATAACTTATTGGAGAAAAAACAAAAACGACACACACTAAAAAAATATTGCAATACATTCATCCACTTTTCTATGCTTCAAATGTGCACCCCAGTGGTGAAAATTAATATGCGACAGTATGAGTCTGGCTTTTGGCCAACGGTATTCCCACTATAATGTCGGGGTTTCAGACATGACTGCTAAATAAAACGCGGGCAATTCCTAAAACAAAAGAATTCAAAAATCATACAAACTATGGCATTTATCTCTTAACACCCTATTTTCTATTTTGCAACATTAAGTGAGAGGTAGCCTACAGTACCTTGTGCACTGAAAAAAAATTAGAAAACTGTACATCAATTTACACACGGGCAGGCTTACTCTTTAACGCAAGCTCGACTCTGACATTAACTCACACACGTGATTCCTCAAGCACACGTCAATCAGGTCGGGCGGGGATAAGTCAACAATAACAGCAGCAATATCACCTGTGATCTCTAAAAGCCAAGGTCTCTTTGCACTTCACTATTATAAGGGATGTAATCAGACAAGCTACTGGTAGTGAACTGTGATGGTGTTTCTAATACCTAAAGTGGAAAAAAAAATTACATCCTCTCAGCTTGTTTTTCAGCAAGTAATCAAGCCTTTTTTGCTGGCTAATCACGGTAAATTCAGTAGCTCTAAACAAACACAAGTCACTACGGTTTAGTTGCGCTGAATTCACTTAAATTACAAAATAGCTGTTTTGTTTTTTTTAACATTTTCTTACAGAGGAAAAAAAGCCCTTCATTACATGCTGAAGTTTAAATAAGTGGCTATCTCATCCTGTTTTTTTTCCCTTAGATGACCCAAGACGTTAAGTAATTTCTACAGTTTTAAAATCCATTAAAATTCAACAGTTATTGAAGCTAAAAAGAGCCAACAACAGTCTCAGTACACACCGAGCAGGAAGTGCGCACAGAGTGGTAAGTGATTCGAACACAAGTTTCTCTGAATAGCTCAATCCACAGTATAATTGCACTGCACACAGTCTAAGTGAGGAGGCATTAAGGGATTCAGTTATGCGGGCTACTGCTGATGAAGATGGGAAAGGTAAAAAGCAGCGAGAGTCGAGGCGTCAACTGCCAAATCAAGAGTATAGGGTGGAGATGATTTTTAAGTTTGCACATCACGTGTTCAGATTTACCCACTGGCAAGAAATGATGGCTTTTCCAGCTTCCTTTAGCAACTTAGCAAGTTGTGTATTTGTCAGGAGATGAGACACTGGAATATGTGGCATAAATGTCTTGCTTCCATGACTCAAGAGTGCATATTCTGGTTATTTTCCACAATAATTTTTCAATGGACACCCAAATGTACCCAATACTCATACTCTGAACTTTATAATCAGCCTAACCTAACTATTCTAACTATGTTGCGAGTGCTGTGCATCAAAATCAGCCCTGTTTCCATTCTTATATATATTTTTTTTTTATAATTTCCAAAAATGTTTCATATGTGCACACACAAGATGGCTATTTAACAGTCAGCAGTAAAAGCCTTCGGTCACAGATCATTGTTGTGGATGAAATCAGCTTGAACTCTACCCACAGCACTTGGCAGTAACACACCTAAAACGTTACCTGGGTAGCTCTGCACACCCGACGATAAAACAAAGAAGATCGACCTTTTACTTGCCAAAACAAATTCCCAGACAGGATCCTTCAAGAGTTGACAATGTGATTTTTCTTCTTTCCCAATCTCGAGGGTGTTTTTTGGTAACTGCACGGTTATGCTCAACACAATGCAATAACCCCAGATGTGAAGTAATGCCAAGCACTGTGGGGGATGTTTCCTTATAGCTGTTCTCTCTTTGCTGTCTCTCTATAGTAACACCCATACAAAGATGTGGATACCCTTCCCATCCCCATTTACATTTAACCAACCAGCTGTGTAAATTAGCATCCACTAAAAAGGAGATCAAAGGCTTTACACTGCTGATGACGTTTGTTAGTTATACCATGAAAGAACACGGTACTCCCTGTGGGACAGAAAAAGCCCTCTGTGTTTCCGTCCATTTTGTTCACCTAATGCTAGCTGCCCAGGAGCTCATCCAGGCCAAGAGAGGGCATTTTATCAAAGTCACAGGATTCAAACAAGTCGCTAATTCCCTGGTCGTCTCCCAAACCTAACAGGTAGTCATCTTCTTGGTCCAGAAGAGTAGGCCCAAGGTTTAAGAAAGGACCCAGGGATGAGGGGATCTGGTCTTCTGTCTGCTGCAGGAGACTGGTGTAAGTGGATGAGATGGGTGAAAGAGTTGTGACGGAGACAGCTGAGGAAGAGGAG